GAAGTATTCCGCCCACCGACCCACAACGTCCTGAGTCGAGGTCAGCAGCACACCATCCCCACTATAAACAGTGTTGGTGCTGCACCGCTTCCCCCTCCTGAAACGCCGGATGGCGGACCAGAATCGCTTCGGAGCCGTACGGAAGTCTTTCTCCATGGCCTCTCCAAACTCCTCCCACACCTGAGTTTTTGCCTCAGCAACCATCCGAGCCGCATGCCGCTTTGCCCGCCAGTACCCATCAGCTGATTCCGGAGTCCCACAGGCCAAAAAGGCCAGATAGGCCCCCTTCTTCAACCTGACAGCATCCCTCACCGGAGGTGTCCACCAACGGGTTCGAGGGTTGCCGCCACGACAGGCACCGACAACCTTGCGGCAGCAGCTCAGATGAGCTGCCTCAACTGCAAAAATAAATAAATAAAAACATTTCTCAAAATAAGTGCATTTTTTTCTGGAATTAAGATGGAAACAAGACAATTTATATTTAAAATTAAAAAACTATGTTGTCTTATTTCGAGTGCATTTTAACTAGTTATCTTATTTTAAGAGTAAAAATATTGATTCCATTGGCAGATCATCTTATTTACCTGCTTAAATTAAGGCTAAACACACTTAATTTAGGAAGTTTTTACTCATTTTTCCTTGAAACATTTTGTGTTACTGTTCATTAAACCATTTTTATGGAGTATAAAGTCTGAATACTGCAGTAATAAATACTCATACCAGTAATTTTATTTAAAAACATGCACATCAACTCCTCTCTAAACGTTTATTTTAAACGTTTTATGCGTGCAGGAATTACGGCGGCCATCTTGGTGTGGTCGAACTTCTAACCTATCCTGCTGATTTAAGCTGGTCAGACGAAGGATGCCTCAGCACTGTGCGGCGTTTTTCTGTTTCAATCGACAGACTATTGACGTCAGAACTCGAGGGATAACTTTCCACAAGTTTGGCACCACATCGCTAAAGTCACACTCTGGAACTCCAGAAGGGGAAAAGCTCTGCAGAACAGTCCTTTTTCAGGGCTTTTAGCTAATATTAGAGAGATCATGTAACAAAGGCTCTCTAGCATTTTATGCTTACAAATATTGTCCTAAAATAACAATTTCCAAACTGAGTTGATGTTACAGCATGTTTGGAAAATACATACAATAAAAATATTTTCATTTCAAGTAATATTTACCTTGACTTTACTTCAAAAGTTGATGGATGAAGTCAAAATTCCCACCATGTGATGTCACTGTTCATCTCCATAGCAACAACCCAAACAATCTTTCATAGGAGCTTTTCAAAGGGACATTACAGTGTTGGGAATAGTGTGGGACAATTACAATTGGTTATTTATACTCCAATTATAGTTTGATATTTTATTGATAAATTTTACTTTTCATTTTTATCATTGAAGATCAAAGGTCTGGGTTTGGGGACAAGCACAGAACGGTAATATTTACATATAAATCAGGTTGAAAAAAGGTGAAAAAGTCATTACAGGTTACTAAAACAAAT